TAGTTATGTGACAAAATCGTAAAAACGATTCATATAATATAGAGTTAAATTAAATACCTAAAATTTTTTTTATATAAGATTTTGTGAAACATCACATATAAATCCATGATCAATATATACCTTCGATCTCATTTTTTCTCATGAACATTTATACAAACTTTAGATATTCTTGAATCCTTTTAATATCACCATAGCTCAAAGATTATCATTTCTTTTGTAATATTCTAAAAATATTTTTATATATACATTTTTTTCTTTAGTTTGGCTATGCATATCTTAAATTTTTAAATTGAAATTTTCATATATTTTCTAAGTTTTTTGTTTTTTATTTATTTATATAATCTCTTTTATTTGATCATTTGTTTTTTTTTTAATTGAAATTTATATTCTCTCTATATTTTTTTACGGTTTATATTCTCTCTAGTTTCTTTTTTATTTTTTTATAATTCTTTTAGACAATTAAAAAACTTATTATCTCCTAATAAGTTGGACTATTAAAATTTTTTTTTTTGCCTATGGTTGCATATGAAGCAGCGGTTTGGAACCCCCTTTGGCCGGCATTATTGTTCCCAAACAGACCGAAGAGTGGTATGGCTGTTTCCTGTTCTATTTTATTAAGTGTGATTTATGTTTCATGTTTGTGTTTCTAAAGGTGAATTGGCAAGGAATAGAGACTTAATGGATATTGGAGATATATTTTGTACGGTTCAATATTTCTTGGGAATATGACCTTTGGTTTTAATGTTGTACTAGTTGCATTGTCTTACACATTCTTCCTTTTCCCTAGTCACTTGTTGGATATTGGGGATATATTTTGTACTGCTGAATATCTCTTGGGAATTTTACTTTGGTATTAAATTTGTACTAAATTGTTTCATCTTACATGCGCTTGAATGGGATAGCGGAAAGACTCATTACTATCAATGTCACGTCGCGTTGGACGGTAGTTACATATTCAAGGTTCATTCCGCTACTATCTTTCGTGTTTGCATATGTACTTTGTGTTAAAAAGATTTGATTCAAGAAGCTGTTGAAGCAATTCATTTGCCTGTTGTCTATTAAACATCGTACTTTAGTGGTAGGATATAGTCCTTGACATTGGCTCAACGTAATTTGTTCTTAATGCACACTGGAACACACCTCCACAAGGTCTTGGGTGATGACAATGTTTTAACGGTCAAATTCGCAGATGTCCAGGAGAACTCGTCTAGCACTAGCTATAGTAATAATCGTGACTTTACATACAAAGGGATTGGTATCATGGTTGGTTTACGTCGTTATCAATTCTTTAGTGGATTGCATTCCTTTAAATACTATTGCTTTTGAGTAAGAACTGGATATTAGAGCTTTATTCTAACATTCTATTCAACAGTTTTCAAAATCAAAGATGGAGGGAAAGAAGAAAGTCTTACTCACTCATGTCTTTGCAAGATTTTATTTTTTTCCCCTCGCAATACTTCTGCAACACTAGCGCTCTCTTGCATAAAAAATTCTTAATGTTAAATGATAAGCCCAATGGGCTTTTTCAATAAATTTTATTTCCATATTTGTAAACGGTGCCGTTTAGCAAACACACAACGTTATGATGTCGACGTCTTTGCAAGAAGATCTAAAGCAAAAAAAAAAAAAATGCAAACGAACAAACTGTGAGTGAGAGAATTGAAATGTCGAGCTTAACTGGTAAGCCTAGAAACTTCGGTGCGTACAATCACTACGCCACTCCTTGCACCCGCACGCACCAGATTGGAGCTCTGTTTCTCGTCGTATCTACCTTCTTCATCACCAGGCTTTTCGATCAGTGGTCCTCCGACTCCAACTCCGTTACTCCGGCGATTGATCTCCGCCGTACTTATTCTGCCGGAGTCACTACTGATAACGGGATTCTACGGTGGCCGGAGCGAGGGTATGGGTCTCACCTTTCGCTGAAGATCTACGTTTATGATGAGAACGAGATCGAAGGTCTCAAAGAGCTTATGTATGGTAGAGATGGTAGTGTTAAGACCACCGCATGCTTGAAAGGCCAATGGGGATCTCAGGTGACTTGATCTTCTTCGGAATCTCTCACTTTCTATTGTGGATTATCTTTCAATTGTGATTCCTGGATTTAGCAGAGAGTGTGAAATGTGTTAGCTACTTTGATTGTTTACAGGATGTGATTCTTATGAGTTTTATTTGTTGCTTATGAATGTAAATGATGATGATAGGTTAAAATTCACAAGTTGCTTTTGGAGTCCAAATTTAGAACAAGTAAGAAAGATGAAGCGGATTTGTTCTTTGTGCCAGCTTATGTTAAATGTGTGAGAATGTTGGGAGGTCTTAATGACAAGGAGATCAATCAGACCTATGTCAAGGTGAAAACCAAATCTTTACTTGTTGATTCAAATTGAATATTGGTGCTGTTTTTTCTTTGTTTCGATCTACGATGATACTTATGGTTCATATTCCCTCTGATTCACTAGGTCTTAAGTCAGATGCCTTATTTCCGAAGATCCGGTGGTCGTGATCATATATTTGTTTTTCCAAGGTATACAAGTTGTTGTTGTTAGTTATTTACTTATGTGGAACTTAATTAGTAAATAAAGTTGTTTCGATGGATTGTATCGTTTTATGGTGTCTTTGACATTACTTTTCTTTGTTATGCTATTGTAGTGGCGCTGGAGCTCACTTATTCAGATCCTGGTCAACATTTATCAACCGTTCTATTATCCTCACCCCCGAGGTACATACCTTGCTTGCTGCTGAGGAAATTTATTGCATTTTGAAGTATATTTGGTATTCGTAGTGAAGGGCCATTGTGAAAATTATCTGTTCATTGCTTTCTGTTCTGGTTTCAGAATTTTAATGGGACTTTTTTGATGGGTTGTTTCGCGTAAATTGGATGGTCTATGTGCCTATCACACATTGAAATTAGTGTGCTAGCTTCTTAGAGTTCGTTTTACAGAAAAATGAATGCTTCAATGATTGCGGATGCAGGGTGACCGGACTGACAAGAAAGACACTACTGCCTTTAATACATGGAAAGATATAATCATACCAGGAAATGTGGATGATGCTATGACTAAAAATGGACGACCCGATGTCCAGCCTTTGCCTCTGCCGAAAAGGAAGTATTTAGCAAATTATTTAGGTCGTGCGCAAGGGAAGGCTGGTCGACTTAAATTGATAGACCTTTCAAAGCAATATCCAGATAAGGTTAGTCTCACCTTGTTTCTTCAAACACTCCTCATACATTTTGTCATAGAGCATCAATGATCTGCTTGAGCTATTGCATGTACTTTGATGTTATGAATAGTTGGAATGTCCAGACTTGAAGTTTAGCGGAACAGAAAAGTTTGGAAGGACGACATATTTTGAACATCTGAGGAATGCTAAGTTCTGCCTCGCTCCTCGCGGGGAATCATCATGGACACTTCGCTTTTATGAATCATTCTTTGTGGTCTGACCTATCATCTCTTTACCCCAACCTTTAATTTCTTGTCATAAACTGCCTTATGTACTGATATATTTTTTTGGCTTGTTCAGGAATGTGTCCCGGTTCTCTTGTCGGATCACGCAGAGCTGCCTTTCCAGAATGTCATTGACTATGCCCAGGTATCTATCAAATGGCCATCAACTCGAATAGGCACAGAGCTTCTTGATTACTTAGCTTCAATACCAGGTAATAATAAGTTACTTCAGATAGAGACATAGAAGGATTTGCTCAGATTCTTGAGTTGTAAGACTTTTCTTTTCCTGACATGCTTTCCAGATAAAGAAATAGAAGGAATGATATCCCGCGGTCGGCAAATAAGGTGTTTGTTCGTGTATGGTCCAGATTCCGCACCGTGCAGTGCGGTTAAAGGGATTCTATGGGAGCTACAGCGCAAAGTGAGACATTTCCACCAATCGACCGAGACATTTTGGCTGCACAATGGCAGTTGTGTGAACAGAGAACTGGTCGCTTTCAATAGCTGGAGACCTCCTATGCCTCTACCGTGAGTTTCCTTGATTCCACAAGAATACCTTTTTTTTTTACAGGAAAACAATGATGAAGTTGAGTTTTATGGTCTTTGCATAGATAGATTAACAGTTGTTGTGAACTTCATTGTTTTGTACATACCAGAAGGATCTCTATAATGAAAGTTATTTGACTAAGACTTAAATTCTATAGAGATTTTTTATTATGGTAGAAACCAAATTGGATCAGTTGACCAAATTTTATTTCCGGTAATTTGGATTTTGGTTGAATGTAGCTGAACTGGAACATAACCAGTGGACGAATTAATAGTTAGAAGGCTAGGATGTCTTTTAAAATTACTTTGATTGGAGGAGGAAACTCCATATGATTGGGGGCGTATATGACTCAAGGTGAGCTTAACATTGCAGTTGGATTGTTAGAGGATATGCCTGAGAAGAATATTATTATGTGCAAATTCTGTTGTTTTGGGATTGTCTAGAGCTAGGGGTATGGAATAAATCCCTCTCAGTTTTTGAGAGAATGCCAAAGAGACACGAGGCTTCTTGGCATCTGATGGTTTTTGGATTCTTAAAGCTAGGTGATATGAGGTCCGCATATCGTATGCCAGAAAATCTGTTGTCTCGTGGACAGGAGTGCAGTTTCAACAAAGATATCAAATCAGGCAGAGGAGTGCAGTTTCAACAAAGATATCAAATCAGGCAGTAAGATTTTCTCAAACGCCGGTAAAAAACGTTTCTGTTCTCGTGATCACGGGCAGTGGGTAGATTCTTATATCAGAAAAAAAAAGATCGAAGTGTCGACTGCTCTAGGCAATGCTCTAATCGACATGTTTGCAAAATGCGGAGATGTGGATGGTGCAAAAGAAGTCTTTGACTGTATGGAGCATCGGAAATGTATAATTACTTGGACAATGATAGTTTCAGGTTTAGCTGTGAATGATCCCTGCAAAGAAGTCTTTGATAGAATGTGTCTAGAAAAAAAATGATGTCCTCTTCATCTTTGTACTTTCAGCTTGCACACATGGATGACTGTATGGTAACAGATACCAAACGCAGCCGCGTATTGAGCATTAACGGTTGCCTGAGTGATCTTTTGGCCGAGCAAGAAAGCTAGACGCCGTGATTTGGGCCAGGTTGCTTAGTTCTTTCAAGATTCATGGAAATATTAAACTATTAGAAGATGTTACAAGAAAGATTTTTGATCAGGAGCCAGCAGATTGATCTTAATTGGATCAAAGGAAACGGAGTTTTTGTTTTGGCCGACATTTGATTTGGCTGAACAGAAGGAACCAGATTGATGAAAGAGACTGTTTGTCTGCAGAAAGGACAAAAGCTCTTGTAACAGTAATCTAACCGACAAGGAACCAATAATACAATGCCATGAAACAGAATTCCACACGGAAATCACCATTCCATGTTTCTCTTCATCAAACCTTTTTATCAGAATAAGTCCAAAACTGTTTTCTTGGGGGTGGTCGAAAAACAAGCCTCCGTGTAAACATAGCTCACCACATCAAATAAGAGCTATCTATTTTCAAGTAATATACAAAACTTTATATTTAAATGGTTATGAAACAACAGAGATTCGTCATCTTCCTAACAATTACTCTCGGCTTTCGGTTAAACAATTGTATTGTTGTTTGTATCAAGTCTTTTGCAAATGGCATGTATACTGAAAGCATTTATAAAGTTCCAAGATTTTCTTTCATGAATGATCTTGTAACTTTGTGGTGATGAGAAGACTTGGGAATTTTTTGGTGGTTACAATAAATCCATCAACACAAAATGATCATAAGGAGGTAGAGGCCAAAAGTGTAGGTAAGAAGATAATAATTATTTACGTTCGAAGGTGCAAAATTTTCAAAGAAAAGCAATTATGGAAAGTTAGAAAGGTCGATCGAGAAGAGAGCCCTACCCTAGAGGGCATGCAAATATTTAATTCTAAGAAGTTATATCAGAATCCATCTTCATAAAAATGTGTCCTCGATCGATGAATGCAAGTACCCTTCTTCTTCATCTACACATCGTTTTCTTTTGATTAGATCGTATCAAGT